TACTGTGGGGTGTACACTTGGCAATTCTTTCCTTGCCTTGCACAAGAACCTGGATTATTCTTGGCCCGTTCATCTGTAACAGTACTCATCTCCTGACTATCTTATGAAACCCTCTCAGAGAGATGACCTCAGTGGCAACCCACTTGGGATCCCTCCTGTCTCTCAGGACCTATTCTTATTTCCCATTCCTAGTCCCCAGTCCCCAACTGGGTGTCTAGCTCCCCTTGTGAGTGCATCCCCGCCCCTCTATTTTTCCCACTCTTTCCCATGGTTCCTTGGGATTCGTTCTTCAGTTCCAGAGAGTACAAATTCGACACATCAAGTTTCCTGTATCATGGGGATGCAGACACTATATATCCTAAACAATCGAAAGGGACCCCAACCCAGTTATAATTAGTTATAATCTCACATTGTAGCTTTGGCCCTACCACCTCTACATCGTGGGCTTTCAGTGCCATAACAGTTCCTCAGAGGTCCCTATAGGGACAAAAAGTCCCCCACCAACACGAAGCACACTTGCCCGCAGTGGGAGAGACTTGGAGTAGCCAGTTGAAAGAGCTACTTCCACCTTGTAAAAACCACATACAGGTTCTGACACCTGCCTTCTTGCGGGGGACGTGAGATCTTTTCACTGGCCCTCTCCTACCCTGAGGAGCCGATCCTGATGTGAGGATAGTCAATCTGACTCAATTTTGAGCAATTCCAGGTGGTCACCTTCCCCTTCCACCCTGGGAGTACCCTCGGTTAACGAGTCACAGACCACCACATCCTACGTGGGTTGGCAACTATTATCTGTGCTGCCTTGTACACAGGATACTCTGCACCTATGTAAGTCTGCGACTATGTTATCTTTACTACCTTGTAAATGGAAAACTCCATACTTGTGGGATATTTTAATTAAACTGTGTGAAACGTTGCCTGACCCTCACTAACTTAGCAAAGTTCTGCTCTTGTGAAAGTCCGTTTGAGCTCCCCCTTTCCCTTAACCCTTCCCAGATAGAAGAGTCCTTAAAGGGACTGCAAACTGCCTTTCCTTTGTCCAGTTTTCCTGGTGCAAGCCACTCTGGAATGGTGGCTATGATAATAAAGGACGCTATTTAATTCAGAGTGTGGTACATCTCTATAATTCCAACTTGCCTGGCCCCGTAACACTACGATTAATATATCTTTGCTCGCACTTCTACCTCTGTGTATCCTGCTCCCGTCTTTGTTTGGGACACCAAGAACCTAGGGCAGCCACCACACTAGACAACAGAAATAGATACTAAGAACTTGACACTTCACCCCTCTGGTCCTAAGGGAAAGATCAGAATGCCCAAGTGCCTTTTTTTTAAAGGCACGGAGGCGTCATGAGTGAGGGTGGACAACGCAGACTATTTATGTATTCATGTTCCTTTGGGAACTGCTGGGGTGGGAAGCTACCATTTTAAACCCTAACCCACAGGAAAGGACTGCATGACTCCCTACATGTGGGCTGTGAGGGTTACTTCTTCCAAGAGTACCCTGTGGCAAGGAGGGAAAAAAAGAGAAGAAACTGTGTGGAGAAACTGGCAAAGCCATTTCATCCAGGTGAGTGAGTCAGTATGCACAGTTATAAATCCTGATGTCAGTATTTACATTTGATATGATCCGATGAAAATGATCTTCCTCAAAGATGGTTGTGGTGAAGCATATCTGTAATCAGCTGTTACCTTTTCTGTTTTTGTGATAAAGTACCTGAGGAAAAACAAAACGCTGAAGGAGATATTTATTTTGACTCAGAGTTTCAGAGGTTTCAGTCCAGGGTCAACGGGTGCCATTTTTTTTGTTTTTTTTTAATACAAGGCAAGTTTTACTTCATGTACTTTTTTTAGATTTTGATTGGCTGTTACACAAATGCTTCCTAGATCATTATGGAAATGGCACATCTACCTGATGTCCATCACTGATCTTCGCCCTTGCACACAGAATCTTCACAACTTACAGAGCACATCTAGGCTGTGACAGGAGCTGGAATCCAGCACCCACAAGGAGATGTTCAGCAGATGGCAGTGCAGAGATTCCCAGGCACCTTCACTGGAGTGACCTCAGGAACAAACAGATCAAGGTGACCAGAGGAGGGCCAGGTATGCTGGCACATGCCTATAATTCCAGCACTCAGGAGGCTGAGCCTGGAGGATTGCCATGAGTTCAAGGCCAGCCTGAGATGCATAGCGCAACCTTGTCTCATACAAACAGGACCAGGGATATAGCTCAGTGGCACTGTACCTGCCTGGTACCCAAAACAAAAACAAACAAAAAGTGTCCAGAGATTTGTGTCCAGAAATGGCACTCTAAGGTCTCTAAGAAACGTCTTTGGTGTCCATGTCCTGTTGTAATTTCTGCACCATCTTTTCTTCTAGCTGCTTTGCACTCCCCAGATGAAATGGATCTTCTGCTTGGCCTCCTTCATGTCCTGGACTTTCTGGAGCTCTTTTTCTTCAACCTGTTCATTATAAATTGAGCTTGGTGTTTTGCTTGATTTCTTTGACTTTCTTCGTTGCATCAATAGTTTCATTCCACAGTTTTTGCTGGTCTTTGACAGGTTTAAAAATTCAAATGAGTTATCCACTGGCAGCTTTTTACGGGTACCTTTTATGAACTGGACCTTGTGAAGACTGTGCTGCTTTTTAAAGATTCTATGACATACTGGGCGTGATGGCGCACACCTGTACTCCCAGCACTTGGGAGGCTGAGGCAAGAGAATCGCTGTGAGTTCGAGACCAGCCTGGCCACAAAGTGAGTTCCAGGTCAGTCTCAACTACACAGTGAGACCCTGTCTCAAAAAAAAAAAAAATTTTTTTTTACATTTGGATTTACAGAATCTGAACACCTTACAGCCATTGTGGATGGGTGCACATCAGGCCATAGCCAGGGTAGATGACTCCATGTAGAAATAACACTTCCAGGTATATATGTGGGAACTGTGTGGGACCACACTACGAAGCAGTGAGCAGGAAAAGGAAGTGAGGTGCAGGGAAAAGGAAGTGAGGTACTGCCACCAGAAGCTTTTTTTTTTTTGGCCTGTGGTGAGGCAAAAACTTTATGGCAAAAGGCTACAGAAGCCTTCTAGGATTGGAGGAGAAAGTATAGGAGGAAACGGGAACAAGACATACCATTCAAAGTCATGCCTCTGGAGACCCACTCCCTCCCTTTGGGACCCATCTCCTAGGACACCATTCAATTTTGAACCCATCAACAACTTAAACCACTGATGTACCACCTCCATGATCCAGTCACCCCTCATCATTCCGTGTGTGCACTGCTGCCCTGGAGGATCAAGGCTTCAAAATACAAGCTGAGGGCTGTGGGGTGACTGGCCAAAGGAATGACTGAAATAAGTACAAAGATGAAGAGAACCTTGAAGCAACAGCATAGGACTCTTGGAATAGACAGTTAAAAGATTAGAGCGGATGGGCTGGGGATTTAGCTCAGTGGTGCTGGGCCTGTCTTGCAAGCACAAGGTCCTGAGTGTGATCCCATTAAAAAAAAAGAGAGATTAGAGCAGATCTGCAGGGAACAACTGAGCAGAGCTAGAAACAACAGTACTCTTAGACTATGTTTACTCCAGACATTGTGTTCTTCATACCCGCCATAAACTTGCCTAGCAGACCATCTTATTCCTTCCTTTCCTCTGAGGAAGGATTTACACAAATGTATTTCCTCTGCACCTTTGTTCTCAAGTCCTTGGGTTACAAATAAAAGGCCAGAGTTTTCTCAGTTGCTGTTTATCTGAGACATCACACAGATGAGTCTCTGTTAAACTGTCCCTCTGGGCCTTAACGGAGTTTAAGCTGAACTGGGAGTAATTTTTCATCCTCTGCACTGCCAGGATATCACACTGCAACAAGGGTGGGATGGATTTAAGATTCAAAACATAACATCAGCTAATTGGGAGGAGGCAAAAGCATTACATGTTCAAGTCCAGTTTGGGCAACATATTGAGACCCTGTCTCAAAAGAAAAATGAAATATAAACAATTTCCCTAAAAAACCTATATAACCCCATTTTGATAGTGAAGAAAGAAATCAGAACAGTTTCAAAGATGGGAATGTTACAATTACTAGCACTCCTCAAAACTGTCAAAGCAGTTGGAAAAGGTTGGGCAAGCCTCAAATCCTAGCACTCCGGGAGGGATAGGCAGTAGAGGTACAAGTTTGAGCCAACCTTGGGCAACTTAGTGATATGGCATGCACATGATTATGCCATAACATTAAAAAAAAAAATGTTGCCTGCCTCACAAGTGCAAGGACCTGAGTTCAATTCCCAGTACCAAAAAAATAAAAATAAAGAGTTGAAGAAGTAGCTCAGTGTGAAGGCCCCTGGGTTCAATACCAAAATTAAAAAAAAAAGTACACCGAACTGTCCTGGAGGACTTGGTAAACAAGACAGCTAGCCCAACCCTCAGAGATCTTGAATCAATAAATCTGAATGGGGACTACCAGTGTATATTTCTAACAAGGTCCCAGAGGATGCTGACACTGAAGTGAGAAAACCACTATTCTAGAAGTGGACTTCTCTGGGGCTGCCGCAGGTACTAACTTGGCACCTTCCTCATGAAAGCACACACTGGATACATGGACCAGTAGCCGAGGTGGGGTAGACTACATCTTCAGGTGCAATTATCTAGTCCTAGTACCCTATATTTTCCTGTTGTCTTCTTCCATCTCCTGTCAAAGCAGTGTTGAAAACTTCTCATTTACCTTGGCCACGCTATTGGGCTTCAAAAGAAGGGACAGGCAAGTACATGAGGCTTTGAAGAGAGACCACTCAGGAGCAGCCTGCAAGGACAGCGTAGTCCTTTGCAATGAGTGGAAAATTTTGGCAGAAGACGAGTAAATATGTGAGGGCAAAGCTCTAAGCCAACCGTGGAAGTTCATGTTTGTTTTAGAAATAAAAGGAACATGGATTTTGATGGCATCTTTTAATTTCATGAGCCCCACCGGGTCCCATAACAAACAGTCCTAGCCCATGGGACTCACCACCATGTGAAGGTGAATGTATAGAAGCAATCCTCCAACTTGGCATTGATTGCCTTATAAAATTGGTACTCCTGATAGGATACCTGGTAGCCCTGTGCCTTAATGTCTATCTCCAGGCACTGCAGAAGGTCCTTCCTGTCACAATCTAATTTACAGGGCACAAACTTGACAACTGACATCTTCTGGGACTCCAGGTAATATATAAGCTCTGCACACTGTGTGGCCTGCTCCTCGCTGGACACCACACACACCACCACCTGCGATGCACGCCTCCCCACAGCCTCGGCCCGGGCCAGCCGCAGCAGCAGCTCCAGGTTCTCGCTGTAGCTTGGCACTTGCAGTAAAAACTGCTTCCGGGACACCTGCTCGCCAAAGATCTGAGGCATGTCCTCCAAGAGCTTGACCAGAGGCTGGATGGCGTAGAACTGGGCCTCACGGTACACCTCGGGGACATGCTGCTGGGGCACCTGCCCGCTGCGCAGGTAGTCCAGGATGGGGTGGAAAAAGGTGCCGGGGCGGTCGATGAAGAAGCGGCCTTCGGCATCCTTGCAGGCAGACGCTGGGCTGGAGAGCATCTCCGCCAGTCTGGAGCCCGGGACTTTCCTCAGGGTGTCTGTGGTGGTGGTGAAGACCTGGCCTCCCACATTCAGCTCCACAACGGTAGATACCTGGGGGCACAAACTCACGGTGAGCCAACACCACCTCCTCCAGGAGGGTCCTGACTTATTTTCATCCAGACAATAACCAGAACAGGACTTGGGGGAGTTTGAGCAACTGCTTCAGGGTGTACTCATGCTGTATGGCACAGCACTTGGGCATTTTAAGAAGGAAACATATTTCAGTTTGATACCGAAGCATTTTAACATTGTCATTTAGATCATGCAATCTGACCAGTGGAAGTTACTGTGGAAGTCACAGAAATAAAATTTCCAAAGTCTATGGCCTTTATTTCTTCATCGACAAGCTGGGGATACAGAGTTGATAAGTCAGGAGGTCTTAATTTATTAAGGATTCTTAGATTTATGATACAGTAAAAGATAAAATAAAAAAGGTGAGGGAGAGCCAGGGATTTAGCTCAGTGGTTCTGCCACCTGCCTCACAAGCAGAAGGTCATGAGTTTGATCCCTGGTACCAAAAAAAATGCTCAGTGAGGCTGAGTTATGAAGATCACAAGATCAATCCTAGGCTGGGCAAATTAATGCCAACCTGTCTCACATAAAAAATATGAACGCTGGTTATGTAGATCAGTCCGAATATCCTGACTTCTATCCCCAGAACTGGAAAAATCAAAAACAGAAAAACAGGAATGTTTTGTGGCAAAAGCCTGATAATACAATAGATATAGCAGGCAAAAACTTTTATGAACTGTAAAATGTGGTGCAATGTCAAACAAGTCTATTCAACAGAATTTTAAAAACTTCATCTCTAACAAAACAGAAGGCTACCACAAAGTAGGACATCACTTGTTCTTAGAAACTGGCACCCTAGACAACTTTTATTATATAAAATTTACCCACTCGGGTCAATAAAATGTGTACGTGACTGCTTTGTATTGGGCCAGGTACCTGGGATCCAGTGATGAACAAGAACCTAACTCCTGCTCTCAGGATCTTGAACCTGTACGCTACATTTTGCGGTGTGTGTGTGGTTTTTGTGAGACATGGTCTCTGTGTAGTTGAGACTGACTTGGAACTCACTATGTAGCCCAGGCAGGTCTCGAACTCACAGCGATCCTCCTGCCTCAGCTCCCTGAGTGCTGGGATTATAGGCGTGAGCCACCATGCCGGCCTACATTTTAAATGCGTAATGTAAACCAGTGATGGTGAACCTTTTAGAGCTTTCAATGTTACATTCTGCTGTTGGGATAGGTTGCCACTGATAAACTAATCGGCAGGCATGATGCTCCACTCCTATAAACAAATCTTAAACTAACCCTCCCCTGCATGCCTACCAGAATGTATTGAGTCCTCATTTTACTGAGGACTGAAGCTGAAGAAGGCAAAAGGAGACTGAATACAGTGGCAGGCACATTGGTAAATTGGCCTATTTCCGTTACACCTTCAATCTCAGTGCTCTGAGAGGGTGAGGCAGGACTAGAAGTTCAGGCTCAGCCTTGGTAATTTAGACTCAAGAGACCCTGTCTCAAAACAAAATAAAACAGAAAAACTAGCTGGAGAAGCAGCTCAGTGCAAAGGCCTGAGTTTCAATCCCCAGTACATCAACAGAAAGTCCTGACAGTAGGCATGGTGGCACATGCCTGTGATCCCAGGTTGGGGAGACTGAGGCAGGAGAATCATCACCAGTTTGCAGCCAACCTGTGCTACATAATGAGTTAAAGCCCAGCCTAAACTACATAGTGAGATCCTGTCACTCATCCCTAACACAAATCTGTGGAGCGCTACACATCCAAGGCTTGTGCTAAGCACCTAGGACATCGCTCCAGCCTCCAGGAGCTCACAGGGCTAACAGGCACAGGTGGGGAGAGGAAGCCTCAAGGGAAGGGGTCCGCCCTCTCCTGGGTGAGTGAGAAATAACACTGCCAATGAACAGCAATCTGTGCAGTCAAAGGGGAGCCTGGAAATCTGGCCCCGACTTTCTGCCACAAGCCATGCCAGGGCTCAGGAAAGTCCTCAAGCCTTGGTGGGTCTGACCTCACTCTCTACTGGTGTGCGGGCTCTCCCTCCAAGACCGAGTACCAGGCTGAACTGAGCACCAGATGCAACCAACTGCTGGGAAGCGCCCAGTTGCCACGGCAACAGCTCCTACCCAGGTACAGAGGGTGCATCCTGGCAGCTCCCAAACACTACAGCTGAGCAAAAGAGGCCCGGAGCCTAAGACTTTCTCCCATAAGCCTCAGGGCTCCTCGGCAGAGCTGCTTGGTTCACCAGAGGCGAGGTCACCTGTGCACAGCAGGCAGGTAGGTGTGAAGTTGCAGGCTTTGACCCCGTGTGCTCTCCTATTACTCCTTTGCCACTGAGGGCTCACAGGCGCTCTTAACATCCCTGTAATCCTGTGAGGGAAACGCAGAGAGAAGAGGCACACAGCAGGGAGGGGAAGAGAGGAAGTGGGGCTGGGACTCCGTCCTCTCATTCAGTCTCTCTCCAGTACAGTCTCTGGGGCCCCCTCCCCAACACCTGCCCCACCAAACATGGTCATTAGCTCTGGGCCTGGGGTAGTTCCCTTTCCTTCTCTGTCTTGAGCTGTGTCATCTGTGAAACAGGGGCAAAAAGGCCTGAGAGAGCTCTAAATCTCTCCTGGTCTCAGAGCATGAGTCCAATTATGCAAATGTCCTTTGCAAAGCTAATTTCCAGGTGCTTAGAAAATCAGCTTAAAAAGAGAGAGAGAAAGGAAGGAAGGAAGGAAGGAAGGAAGGAAGGAAGGAAGGAAGGAAGGAAAGGTAAAAAGGATTTAGAGGTTGGAAATGGTACTGCACACCTGTAATTAATTCCAGCACTTAAGAGGTTGAGGCAGGAGTATGGCAAGAGTTTGAGGACAGCCTAGGCTACGTAGTAAGTTCAAAACCAGCCTAATCTACATACCAAGAAGCTATGTAGAAAAAAACAGGGCTGGAGATTTAGCTCAGTTGTGCCACTACCTGCCTCACAAGCACAAGGTCCTAAGTTCAATTCCCGGTACCAAAAAAAGCAAAAAAAAAAAAAGCCAGGGATGTGGCTCAGTTCAATCCCAAGTTCTGAAAAAAAAAGGACCTAGAAAACTCTAAACCTCTCCAGTTAATGAGTCCACTCAAATATCTTTTTAGAAACTAATTTCCAAATGCTCCAAAAATGAGCTTCCTGCCCTTATATGAAGAACTCAGCCCCAGTTTCCAAGTTTAATTCTCTTTTCCCTCCTTTCTCCCCAAAGTCCCTAATTTCCTTGCATATTCTAGAATCCCTATAACATCCATGAACACTGTCCACTTTCTTTTTTTTGACACAGGAGGTGGAACTGGGGACCTTGTGCTTGTGAGACAGGCGGTGACATCACTGAGCTAAATCCCCCACCCTCTTTCTCTCTTTTTGCTCATTGTGTTTCTAGCAGACTTCTTTTCCACTCCTCTTCAGGTTCGCCTGACACAGAAGGTTAGTGCATGGTGAAACTGGCTGGGAATGTAGGCGTGAATTATTAATTAATACAAGATCCAGGAACACAGGGGCAGCCAGCAGGTTTTCAATGGGATGGGCTGGTCCTGACATCAGCCTGAGGCAGAGGACCCCAGCACTGCCTCTCAGTACCCATATGTAGAAGCTGTTGTGGGTTTCCTTGAGACATGCACAGTATAAAAGGACACAGCCCTCAGTGGTACTGCATGCACCTGCCCTGCAAGGGCAAGGTCCTGAGTTTGATCCCTCATGATGGGGGGCTTGCTATGGCAGCTTTCCTCGAGACATCTGGCCCTGTTTTCTCTAAGGTGTACTTTTATCTTGCTTTTTCTCTTTTACTTGACCCAAGATTGCTCTGCAGAGCCAGTTTCTCCATCACTTTTCATTTTACTTTTTTTTTGTTTTGGTTTTTTGAGACAGGGTCTTACTATGTAGTTGAGACTGACCTGAAACTCACTATGTAGCCCAGGCTGGTCTAGAACTCACAGCAATCCTCCTGCCTCAGCCTCCTGAGTGCTGGGATTACAGGCATGCCCAGCTTCATTTTACTTTTTCAAATAAATTTTACCATTGCTTTTTGCTTATTTCATCCAATTTTTTGTTCGAGATGAGAAAAAAAATGGAAACCAGCTCCAGAAGGAGACCCAGGCATCATAAAACTGACTAATGTTTAATTAATGAAGCAGGCTACCTAGTAACACACCTGCCCCTTCGGTGTGGTTCCTCTCCCCATCTTTACTACCAGACACCTGGTCTTTAGAGGTCACTTCAGGGTGTCAAGCCACTGCCGGCCCTGAGGACAGAGATGAATCAGGCCCAGCAGTCACCCAAGCCCAGGCTGAAGGGTCCCTATACTTCTCACCTCCCCTCAAACATTAATAAATTTCCTTAGGTCATCCCCAGTTGAGTGAATGGAGGGACATCTCTATTCAGATGTCTCCCAAGGCCCTCAAGATCTCTCCCCAGCCCACAGCCCAAATTTTTACAATTCCACCCTATCTCAGTTGTATGAACCAGAATCCTAGTTACTCTTGCATCTGCTCCTGCCCTCGGTCTCTCCCCTATAACTAATTAATCACTAAGTCTTATCTGCTTGGCACTCCCATTCTTTTTTGTTTGTTTGACAGGGTCTCACTATGTAGTTAAGACTGACCTGGAACCTACTATGTAGCCCAGGTTGGTCTTGAACTGACAGTGATCCTCCTGCCTCAGCTTCCCGAGTGCTGGGATTACAGGTGTGCCCCATCACCCAGCTCCCATCTTTTTTTTTTTTTTTTTTTTTTTTTAAAGACAGTGTCACTGTGTAGTTCAGGCAGCCCATGAGCTCTTTACGTAGTCCAGGCTGGACTCAAACTCTGCAATCCTGCTGCCTGGGCCTTCCCAGTGTTCCCCCACCACACCTGGCCCTCCCATCCATTCTGCACTCCTAAACCAAAGTGTGCATCTTTCTCCGATGTTGAAATCTAATAATTGCACTCCCTTCAGTATGCACTTCCTTACCTCCCTGGCAAACGCCACGCTCCTCAACAAGGTTTACCGCACTCTGCAATAGGCCGCAGCTCCTCCCCCAGCAATCCACAAACAAAACCCTTTCCTGCTGCCCTCCTCCTCCTTCCCCTCCAGGGCTTCAGTCACTTTCCAGGCACCCTCCCTTCACCCAGTGACTCAGCTTTCAAGTGAGTTCCGCAGGAGCAGGGCCCTCCCAGGTAATACTGTTTGTTCATCTGCGTCCCTATCAGACTGCGAGGCTCCCAAGGCAGGCAGCGGCCTGGGTTCTTCCTCGTGTCACCAGTACCTGCTACACCAGTAACTGTGGAACTCAATGGAGCTTACCCGTGGCTCTGATGCACAGACGCGCCTGGTATTTCGATAAAAGCCAGCCTTGCCCTACCTGCCATCAAGCTCACCGCTGGCTCTGTGCTTTACCCTTGCCCAGAAATTCACTCACACATTTGTGAAACGCACAGGGCATTCAGCGCCTAGCACCCTGATACTGTTCTGGTGACTTAGGAGCCAACAGCGATGCATTTTTCAATCTCCCCGTAGAATAAGGAGACCCTTCCTGCACTGCTGGTGGACCTGCTTTCCTTCTTTCGGTAGTCAGGATGGCACTCAGCCCAGCACAGGAGTAGGATGTTCTGCTCCCGGAGTGCACTCGGACTTTCCCTGATCCACCTCCCCATGCGCCTCTCCTCTGAGTCCTGGGAGAAGACTAGGGAGCCGTGAGAGACTCGGGACCCAGCCAGAAGGCCTGGGCAGGGTCAGGGGGCCATGGGGATTGAGAGTGAGGGAAGGCAGGGGCCAGGCTGTACCAGCAGGCTTCTCCCTCAGGTGCGGGGCAAGGGAGGAGAGGGGGAGAGCTGAGGACCACAGCAGGCCAGGCCGGCACAGGTTGCCAGAGGGGACAAGAAGAGAAACTAAAACAAAGACTGAGGGGAGAGGGTGGGAGCAAATGAGGCCGGCCAGGCAAGAAACGGGCAAAGAAGAGATCTGCAGATATGGAGTAGGAGACCAAGACGCGAAAGAACAGCGATCAAAGCTCGGGGGCAGCCCAGGGCCAACGTGGGGTCCTCCAGCCTGGAGCGGCGGCGGCGGGATACAGGGCCGAAGGCAGAGACTCAGAACAGAGGGGAGGGATGGGGACTGGGGAAGAACCTGGAGCCAAAGGCAGGAAAACCGAGGCAGCTGGGAGGCGGGACGCAGCTGGCTCCAGACCACCCACCCTCACGCCCTGCACTCACGCTGGGCGGGCTAGGCCGCAGGTTCCGAGGCGTTGGGGTGCGGCTCATCCTGGTTTCCCCGGCGCTCACACGGCAGCCCCGCCAAGTCGCTACCCTACAGGGCAGGAGCACTCTGGCTCAGTGCGGCTGAGCCAGGCCCAGGCCAGGTTAGCCCGCACTGGGCGGGCCCAGCAGAGACCAAAGAGGCCCTGCCTCTTTCTTTGCCTTGGACTGTTTGATGTGCAAAGGAGGAATGTGGAGGGAATTGATGAACAATGGGAGACTTTACCCTCACAGTCCTGAAGGGAAAGACCTGCCATGCCCAATTTAGATTTGAGTAAGGAGAGGCCCTGGAGGCAGGGTGGCTGGTGTGGAAGGCGTCGGTTGTGTGAGGTGGTTTTCCTTGTTAAAATATAGCCAACCGAGGGCTGGGGATGTGGCTCAGTGGTGCAGCACCTGCCTGGCAAGCGCGAGGTCCTGAGTTCATATTCGCAGTACAATAATAATAATCACATATATATATTATAATTTCCTGCTAATTACATGTAGGCTGTGATTTCTGGCAAGACCGCCTGGTGGCAAGGAGGAAAAAGAAGAAACCTTGTAGGGGAGAAAGTGACACACACTTTCACCAGAATGAGAAAGCATCAGCGGGTAAAAATGACCTCCAAAACGACCATGGTGGTGCATGCCTGTAGTCTCAGGGGTGTTGGCTTTTCTGTCACTCTGATTAAATACCTGTGAGGCCCGGCATGGCGACACACGCCTGCAATCCCAGGACTGCTGTAAATTCAAAGCCTGCCTGAGCTAATGGTGAGTTCAAATTTAGCCTGAACTAGTAGTGAGACCCTGACTCAAACAAAAGACCCGAAAAAGCAACGTTAAAGGAGGAGAGATTTATTTTGGCTCGGAGTTTCACAAGTTTCAGTCCAGGGTCAGCTGGTTCCTCTGGGTTTTGGACTGTGATGAGGCACAGAAACCTTATGTCACAGGTACGGAAAGGGGTAAAGTTGGTCAGGGCAGCTCTTGCTGCATTTCCATTACCACACACACACACACACACACACACACACACACACACATATAAACACAAACACTTGAAGGGTGGATGGAAGCAAGAAGGGAAGGAACAAAAGAAATGTTGAACATATGAATGTCTATGTTTGTCTCGGCTGGCAAGAAAATTGAGGAAATGCTCTGATGTGTACTCTGTGGTGTGCAGAGCTGACTCCCTGGGCCCCCGTGGGGTTGCCTTCAACTCTGAGCAACTGCAAGCTTTTCTTTTATGTGGAGGTGAACTAGAAGTCAAATTCCTGGACCTCTCTCAGTGTAGGATGTCAGATAAGAGACTTATAAAAGGGTAAATTAGGAAAAAAAACTGCGAATGCCTTGAAACTTCCTGTCTCATTCCTTAGTTTTGAGTGAGAAGTTACCTCCAAAAATTTGACTATACATAAGCGTATAAATAGATCTTGGGGAGCCAAGAATTTAGCTCAATGGTGTGGCACCTGCCTCAAAAGTTTAAGGTCCTGAATTCAATCCCAGGTACCACAAAGAAAAAGAGAAAAAGACCTTGGGTCCAATGTGGTCAGCCACAGCAACAATAAAAATAATCAGTAATTTAATTTAAAATGCAGGACAGGGAATGTAGCTCAGTGGTTCTGCTACCTGCCTCACAACCACAAGGACCTGAGTTCAATCCCCAGTACAAAAAAAAAAAAAGCAGTGGAGGACCAGGGATGTAGCTCAGTGGTGCTGCACCTACCTGGCAAGCAGAAAGTTATGAGTTCGATCCTGCTACCCCCCCAAAAAAACCCTAAAAATAAATAAAAATAGACCTGACCCATGTTTATAGTGACACAGTTTGTAATAGCTAAAACTTGGAAATAGCCCAATTGCCCATCCACTGGAGACTTGATAAAGATGTGGTTTTTCTATAAAATGGAGTACTACTCAGCCATACAGAATGAAAAACTAGAGACATTTATAGCTAAATGAATGCACATTGAGGCCATACTCTTAAGTGAAATTAATAGGACACACACGTGTAAATACCAAATTGTTTCTCTGGTGTGAAAAACTAAAAGTGTAAATAAAGTTCAAATGGTGTAACTGATAGTGTGAAATAGGAATAAAAGGTCTAAAAGGTGTAGGGGAAGTGGGAGAGGTAGGGGAATGGTAAAAAGGGGAAAAATATGAGAAAAGGGAAAAAATGGAAACAAAGTCTTTGTAAATAGGGAAGGGTGGAGCAGGTTGTAAGACTTGAATGAGCTAAAGTGACTCCATGCTAATAGGCCAGACTGTGCTTCTTCATATGCTAATTGCTAACTTGGTTAAAAGCCCGCCCAGGGACACGTGGCATGACAAAAGGTGACCATAGCACATTTCCTATGTAAGATAAGCAATGCTTTTGGAATCTTGTCCTTTGGTAGTTCTGCGAATGCCCTGACTTTTTGTTTAGAAAAACCCTTTAAAAAGGACCTCAGCCCCTGAGCAGTTGCCTCTCTGAGCTACCTGGCTCCAGGAGTGCCGTCTGGCCAGAGTAATAAAGGTCTGTTTGTAAGACCTAAAGTCTCACTTCCACTCCACGGAGCGTGAACAGCCAAAAAGGCCTCCACGATGCTGGGCCCTAACACCCAGCGAGGCTCCGGGAACACGACAGAGAACCGAGAAACCCAGGAAGGAACACACCAGCCTAGATGGTAAAAGAGACCTTTATTAGTCTGGCCAGACGGCACTCCCGGAGCCAGGTGGCTCAGAGAGGCAACTGCTCAGGGGCTGAGGTACTTTTTATAAGGTTTTTCTAAACAAAGAGTCAGGGAATTCACAGAACAAGACTGCAAACACATTGCTTATCTTATGCAGGAAATGTTCTAGGGTCACCTTTTGTCAAACCATTTGCCCCTGGGCGGGCTGTTAACCAAGGTAGCAATTAGCATATGAAGAAGCACAGTCTGGTCTATTAGCATGGAGTCACTTTAGCCTATTCAAGTCTTACATGTTTACCATGTAGCCTGGTGTGTTCCCTCCTGGGTGACTCGTTCCTCCGTCGAGCTCTGGGAGCCTCACTGAGCTATAGGCCCCAGCATTATGGAGGCCCTTCTGGCTGTTCGGAAGTAAGGCCCTGGGTCTTGTTTCCGGAGCCATCGTTGGGCTATAGGACTCAACATCATGGAGGCCTTTGGGCTGTTCACCTCTGTGGAGTGGAAGTGAGACTTTAGGTCTTACAGGGTGAAGGGCGGGCAAGAGAATGCGGAAAAGATAAGAACCAAGTTACATCATGTAAATGATCCCAGTGATGAATGTAACTGTACTGTATACCTAAAATGTACCAGAAAATTTAATGGAAAGAAAATAATAGATCTGAATTGGGAGTGCCAGCAGATGCTTGAGGAAGAAAATAAAACTAAGGGTAGAATGTGGCTCAGAGGTAAAGCACTTGCCTAGCATACCTGGAGCCCTGGGCTCC